TTTACGGGGTGGACCGGTAAGCTTTATGGGGTGGACCGGTAAGCTTTACAGGGGTGGACCGGTAAGGTTTACGGGATGGACAGGTAAACTTTACGGGGTAGACCGATAAGATTTACGGAGTGGATCAGTAAGCTTTACGGGGTGAACCGGTAAACTTTACGGGGTAGACCGGTAAGCTTTACGGAGTGGAACAGTAAGCTCTACGAAGTGGACCGGTAAGCTTTACGGGATGGACCGGTAAACTTTACACAGTGGACCGGTAAGCTTTACAGAGTAGACCGGTAAGCTTTACAGAGTGGACCGGTAAACTTTACAGAGTGGACCGGTAAGCTTTACAGAGTGGACCGGTAAGCTTTACAGAGTGGACTGGTAAGCTTTACAGAGTGGACCGGTAAACTTTACAGAGTGGACCGGTAAGCTTTACAGAGTGGACCGGTAAGCTTTACAGAGTGGACCGATAAGCTTTACAGAGTGGACCGGTAAGCTTTACAGAGTGGACCGGTAATTTACAGAGTGGACCGGTAAGCTTTACAGAGTGGACCGGTAAGCTTTACAGAGTGGATCGGTAAACTTTACAGAGTGGACCGGTAAACTTTACAGAGTGGACCGGTAAGCTTTACAGAGTGGACCGGTAAGCTTTACAGAGTGGACCGGTAAGCATTACAGAGTGAACCGGTAAGCTTTAGAGTGGACCGGTAAGCTTTACAGAGTGGACTGGTAAGCTTTACAGAGTGGACCGGTAAGCTTTACAGAGTGGACCGGTAAGCTTTACAGAGTGGACCGGTAAGCTTTACAGAGTGGACCGGTAAGCCATAAGAAAACCTCGGCCACATAACCAGAAATTCCACAAAATAATTAAACACAACAAACACTAATATTAGCAAACACTTTCCTAATTTCTGCTGACGGTCACCACCAGCACCACCACCACCAGCACCACCACCAGCACCACCAGCACCAGCACCACCACCACCAGCACCACCACCACCAGCACCACCACCACCAGCACCACCACCAGCACCACCAGCACCAGCACCACCAGCACCAGCACCACCACACCAGCACCACCACCAGCACCACCAGCACCAGCACCACCACCACCACCACCACCAGCACCACCACCAGCACCACCAGCACCACCACCACCAGCACCACCACACCAGCACCACCACCACCACCACACAGGTATTGTATCACCATGCACACCTGTGGTAGCAGGTATTGTATCACCATGAACACCTGTGGTAGCAGGTATTGTATCACCATGAACACCTGTGGTAGCAGGTATTGTATCACCATGAACACCTGTTGTAGCAGGTATTGTATCACTATGCACACCTGCGGTAGCATGTATTGTATCACCATGCACACCTGTGGTAGCAGGTATTGTATCACCATGAACACCTGTGGTAGCAGGTATTGTATCACCATGAACACCTGTGGTAGCAGGTATTGTATCACCATGAACACCTGTTGTAGCAGGTATTGTATCACTATGCACACCTGTGGTAGCATGTATTGTATCGCCATGCACACCTGTGGTAGCAGGTATTGTATCACCATGAACACCTGTGGTAGCAGGTATTGTATCACCATGAACACCTGTGGTAGCAGGTATTGTATCACCATGAACACCTGTGGTAGCAGGTATTGTATCACCACGCACACCTGTGGTAGCAGGTATTGTATCACCGTACACACCTATGGTAGCAGGCATTGTATCACCATGCACACCTGTGGTAGCAGGTATTGTATCACCATGCACACCTGTGGTAGCAGGTATTGTATCACCATGAACACCTGTGGTAGCAGGTATTGTATCACCATGAACACCTGTGGTAGCAGGTATTGTATCACCATGAACACCTGTGGTAGCAGGTATTGTATCACCACGCACACCTGTGGTAGCAGGTATTGTATCACCGTACACACCTATGGTAGCAGGCATTGTATCACCATGCACACCTGTGGTAGCAGGTATTGTATCACCATGCACACCTGTGGTAGCAGGTATTGTATCACCATGAACACCTGTGGTAGCAGGTATTGTATCACCATGAACACCTGTGGTAGCAGGTATTGTATCACCATGAACACCTGTGGTAGCAGGTATTGTATCACCATGCACACCTGTTGTAGCAGGTATTGTATCACCATGAACACCTGTGGTAGCAGGTATTGTATCACCATGCACACCTGTGGTAGCAGATATTGTATCACAATGAACACCTGTGGTAGCAGGTATTGTATCACCACGCATACCTGTGATAGCAGGTATTGTATCACCGTACACACCTGTGGTAGCAAGTATTGTATCTCCTTGTATTTCCACCATCCGTGGCTACACACACGTGGGAAATTGTCTCTCAGCAGACAGGTGACAGGTGTCAGGTATATCTGTTAGTTGGTCTCTTAGGCTTAAAGGTCATTAAGGTGACTATTATATAGCAGTGGTTCCCAAACTTTTTCAGCTTGTTACCCAATTTAACATGCCACATAAAGCATGTTACCCCTTTCACAAAATGTTGTTATTATTGATATACATGGCTAAACGTGAACGTATACAGCCTCGCATACTCTGCTAATCCTAGCAAAACCATTGAAAACGTAAGAACCACACATACATTATATATAAAATTAATAATAGCTACAAATTCACAGTAACAGTGGGTAAATACTAACTATATACTGCACAGGGCAGTACACATACATACCAGCTTATGTCTACCTCGGCTGATGCTCACAGATAAACTGACAGTGTGAAATAGAGGCAGCCTCAGGAAGTGAGTGACGCGTACTGGACAGGTCGATCTGGGCTACTGAGTGACTTTTGTCCTGAAGCATACTTGTCAAAATACTTTTGGGTTTCCACACACTTAGCTATATATTTCTTCTTTTCTAATACTGTATATTAGTTTTTGATGTTTATTGTTATTTGGTTTAACTTTATTACTTACTTATAATAGGTTTACTTTACAACTTTATATACTAAGACAAAGTTAACAATAATCCTCATACCGGGTACCGCATTGTTTTCTTGATTTTCAGAATTCATAACTTTTTTTCTGTCACCCCTCCATTACCCCCCAAAAATGGTTAAATTACCCCCAGGGGGTAATTTACCCCCAGTTTGGGAACCACTGATATAAGGTCATTAAGGTGACAGTCACATATACACAACTAATTAAGAACATCTTAATCCCTAAACTAAGCACTTGTGTATACATACCTTTGTTAAATAGCCATGTTAAATACCTTTGATAAATGACAGCTCTTAAGAATACGTGAGTTTGTGCATGACCCGTATCTACTGTAAGTGGGTGAATGAGTCCCACGTACAGTACGTAGATACAGTGGTGAAGCCATGGGGGAGGTGGGGAGGTGGGGAGGTGGGGGAGGTGGGGGAAGGTTAGGGGAATAAGTTCCTCCCCTGACGTAAATACATTATTATTCTAATAAGTAAATTTCCACTGTATTATATAGAGCAGTGACCACCACAGCAAACAGTGACCACCACAGCAAACAGTGACAATCACAGCAAACAGTGACCATCACAGCAAGCAGTGACCATCACAGCAAGCAGTGACCGTCACAGCAAACAGTGACCACCACAGCAAACAGTGACCACCACAGCAAACAGTGACCATCACAGCAAACAGTGACCATCACAGCAAGCAGTGACCATCACAGCAAGCAGTGACCATCACAGCAAACAGTGACCATCACAGCAAACAGTGACCATCACAGCAAACAGTGACCATCACAGCAAACAGTGACCATCACAGCAAGCAGTGACCACCACAGCAAGCAGTGACCACCACAGCAAGCAGTGACCACCACAGCAAGCAGTGACCATCACAGCAAACAGTGACCATCACAGCAAACAGTAACCACCACAGCAAGCAGTGACCACCACAGCAAGCAGTGACCACCACAGCAAGCAGTGACCATCACAGCAAACAGTGACCATCACAGCAAACAGTGACCATCACAGCAAACAGTGACCACCACAGCAAGCAGTGACCACAACAGCAAGCAGTGACCATCACAGCAAACAGTGACCATCACAGCAAACAGTGACCATCACAGCAAGCAGTGACCACCACAGCAAGCAGTGACCATCAGAGCAAGCAGTGACCACCACAGCAAGCAGTGACCATCACAGCAATGACCATCACAGCAAACAGTGACCACCACAGCAAGCAGTGACCACAACAGCAAGCAGTGACCATCACAGCAAACAGTGACCATCACAGCAAGCAGTGACCACCACAGCAAGCAGTGACCACCACAGCAAGCAGTGATCATCACAGCAAACAGTGACCATCACAGCAATCAGTGACCACCACAGCAATCAGTGACCATCACAGCAAACAGTGACCATCACAGCAAGCAGTGACCACCACAGCAAGCAGTGACCACCACAGCAAGCAGTGACCATCACAGCAAACAGTGACCATCACAGCATGCAGTGACCACCACAGCAAGCAGTGACCACCACAGCAAGCAGTGACCATCACAGCAAACAGTGACCATCACAGCAAGCAGTGACCATTACAGCAAGCAGTGACCACCACAGCAAGCAGTGATCATCACAGCAAACAGTGACCATCACAGCAAGCAGTGACCACTACAGCAAGCAGTGACCACCACAGCAAGCAGTGACCACCACAGCAAGCAGTGACCATCACAGCAAACAGTGACCATCACAGTATGCAGTGAACACCACAGCAAGCAGTGACCACCACAGCAAGCAGTGACCATCACAGCAAACAGTGACCACCACAGCAAGCAGTGACCACACCAAGCAGTGACCACCACAGCAAGCATCATACTTGAAGAAATTGCACATTCAAGCTGGACGGTATGTGATTTAAAGACGATTTATTTGATCTTTTGAGTATGTCAAAAGATCGTCCTAGATGGGAACCTTGGCCTCTGCAGGTGACTGACACATCTACGACATAGGGTGGGAAGGTAACACATGACTCTGGTTGTCAGACTTATATATGGAGGAGAGGGAGAGACAGGTGGTACAGATACTTGTTGACTGTTGACATTATTATCACTGCTCCTCTACTGGTTCCTCAGCATCTGGTAACAAGTGGACAGTAACTTTTATGGTGAGTCAGTAACTAAGTTTGTACACAACACAATTTCAACAACTGTTGTAATATTTGCTGTGTAGATCACATCCTCACTTATATGGGCAAAGATCTCTCCCCCTTTCCTGTTGACAATTTATATATATATTATTATTATATATATATATATATATTATATTATATATATATATATATATATATATATATTATATATATATATATATATATATATATATTATATATTATATTATATACGCTAAAGCTGTGTGTGTCATTAATATAAGGTGTGGCTGCTGACAGCTTCTCGTCTTGTACTGACCACAACAACATTGTCACCTTCACAAAGATGTGGCTCCCAGCTGCCCTCACCCTGATGTTCATGCACCTGCTAGGTAAGCACACATACCTGCTAGGTAAGCACACATACCTGCTAGGTAAGCACACATACCTGCTAGGTAAGCACACATACCTGCTAGGTAAGCACACATACCTGCTAGGTAAGCACACATACCTGCTAGGTAAGCACACATACCTGCTAGGTAAGTGGTTGTACCAAAGGGAATCTCTCATAAGATTGGGTTTGCCCTTTTATTATACCATCTGTTTCACCTTTCAGTGTTTGTTATTGTTTTACTAACTTCGTCAATAGTTTTTTTTTCTGTTCTGTCTCGGTCGAGGAATACACGGCACACTATACACAAATAACCCGCACATAAAAGAGAGAAGCTTACGACGACGTTTCGGTCCGACTTGGACCATTTACAAAGTCACACATTTACAAAGTCACGGCATTATTATTCTCATTTTTTGCAAGATTGCTTCCCTCTGAAAGATGCTGTTTCATGATACCTGGGAGCCAAGGATCAGTTGAACTGGTCTGAATTTATACTTAGTCTCCTGTATTCTCAATGCTCCCTCTAATAACATTGTCCTCCTCCTCCTCCCGTCTCTCCCACACTGACGTACCTTCCACCTCCAGATAATTATAGATTATCAAGAATCTTCATCTATCTTCATCTCATCGTCTGTCATCAGTTTCACTGCAGTCTCTCTCATGTTTATATTACCTGGTCCTCTGTAAGAATGCAAAAGCATTTTGTCAGCCTCATCCCATGATGCTCTCTCCACTTTTTTCCTCTACCTTTCACACTTATTCTTTTCTCATTATTTCTAGCTACTTTTATCCTTTCCTTTTTTTTCTGGTCCCCCTTCTTTGTTCTCTTAAACCTATTTTTCGTTTCCTCATGACGATTGTTCACCAGGTCAGACATCAGATATATGTCTTGTTCCTCCTCAACTGTCTCTCACCGCACTTCCCTCATGGCTACTCTTCTCTATTTTCTTTCCATTATTCTCGTTTCAGTGAGTTTCATAGTTATGTGTGCAAGCGCTTGTTACTGATTTTCAGAACTGTCAAGAGTGCGTGCGCATAACTAGAAATTTTAGCAATTTTCCATACCTACAAGAAAAGGTATATTATTAACAGTGAGTGGGTTTGAGAGTGAGCAGTGGTCCTGGGTCCAACAGTCCAAGATCCAGCGGTCCAGGGTACAGCGGTCCAGGGTACAGAGAGAAGATAGTGAAGCCGCGAACATCGTCAGTCAAGGATGTTTGGACCCTTACGTTGCCGTGGGCGACCAATGCCTCTTCTTCGCCACCTTCGCCGACCAGAACTACCAAGATGCTCGCCAATTGTGTCACTCACTGGACGGGGAAGTGGCAGCTGTCCTCACAGCAACACGCTTGAAGAACATAATTGACTACATTAATGACAATGGTAATTACTGCTCCACCTCATTAATAGTCTGACTTACTCTCTGGTGAGTGTAACCATATTAATGGCTATCTGAGAGACCCAGACGAGACTGGAAGGTCTGATTAACCTAGGGACGGTGCTGAGGAGACTGGAAGGTCTGATCAACCTAGGGACGGTGCTGAGGAGACTGGAAGGTCTGATCAACCTAGGGACGGTGCTGAGGAGACTGGAAGGTCTGATCAACCTAGGGACGGTGCTGAGGAGACTGGAAGGTCTGACTAACCCAGGGACGGTGCTGAGAGTTAAAAAAAAAAACATTTTTAGAGTAATTTCTTTTCAGCGTATAACAATTTTGAGCATGTGTACCTCAGCATATCTCAGTGTGTGTGTCCCTCCTCAGGTCTTACCAGTAATGGCTACTGGATTGACGGGAGTGACCAAGACAGTGAGGGGGACTGGCGCACTTCCTCGGGTCTGTCTATACCCATGGGTAACACCATTCTGGGAGGCAGATTTAACCTACCAACAACCTGATGATTATTCTAATGGTCAAGACTGTTTGTACATGGGGAGAACTTTATTTTACTATCTTGATGACGTAAGTTGTGCTGGTGCTCACTCACCATTGTGTGAACAAGCGATTTCTCAAACAGGTCAGTTTAATGGTGTTTCCAAAAATAATTTTGACAAATTTAATCCCATAAAACACAACCATTAATAAATATATTTTCTGTATATAGAAAGGAAATTTGTTTTGGCGCATAAATAATTTTGTAACTCATTACCTCAATTTACTTAAAATGAATAATAAGATTTCAGCGTAAGTATATACGTCAGAGATTGAGGTGACGAAGAGATCACTAATGTCCTTTGATCTGTGGTAATGTGTTCAAAATTACAGCGGTAGCAGCAGTGCCAGAGGTGCAGGACTGTCCCACCTTCTTCGTGAGTGTGGGCGGCCTCTGTCTCTCCTTCATGACGTGGGTTGAAGAGTCGTGGGAGGAGTCACGTCAGACTTGTCATGGCATGTCAGGGGAGCTGGCTGCTGTTACTGACATTGAACAACTGAGAGCTATATACCTGTACCTGCACCAGGAAGGTAAGACTAGTGTACATACCTCTACCAGCACCAGGAAGGTAAGACTAGTGTACATACCTCTACCAGCACCAGGAAGGTAAGACTAGTGTATATACCTCTACCAGCACCAGGAAGGTAAGACTAGGTATATACCTCTACCAGCACCAGGAAGTAAGACTAGTGGTACATACCTCTACCATCACCAGAAGGAGACTATTACATACCTCTACCAGCACCAGGAAGGTAAGACTAGTGTACATACCTCTACCAGCACCAGGAATTTAAGACTAATATATATTCTTCTACGAACACCAGGAAAATATGAGTAGGATATGTACCTGCAAAAGGACTTCTAAGGTGTTGCAGGGATCACTGATCACTTGCTGTGTGTTGCAGGGGTCACTGATCACTTACTGTGTGCTGCAGGGATCACTGATCACTCGTTGTGTGTTGCAGGGATCATTGATCACTTGTTGTGTGTTGCAGGAATCACTGATCACTTGCTGTGTGTTGCAGGAACCACTGATCATTGGTGTGTGTTGCAGGGATCGCTGGTCATTCCTTCTGGCTGGGAGGCTCCGACACGGCCCAGGAGGGCGTCTGGTTGTGGACTGACGGTCAACGCGTCCCTATGGGTACGTCACTTCATCAACAGTGACTGTTGTCGTGTTTAAATGTCATAGTTAATTCTTGTTAAAACAGCAAGTCAGAATTTACTACAAACTTCCACTGATAAAATAGATGGTTTAGTAAGTTTAAAAAGCAATTGTTATTAAGACTACATAAGTGTACGTTACCAATTAAGAATAACTTATTATTATTTTTTTTTAATCTTGTTTCCTTTCGTCTTTTAGCAACAATTTTCTTGGTTAATTAAACTGTGAGTATAAAAATCTATTTAATAAAGTTTCATAATTAAATGGACAGAATAATGGACATAATTACCAATATTGTTAATTACATGTGTCTCAGGGGCACCGTTCTGGGGCTTTGGGAAGTTAGATGTGTTGGAGCCAGATGGTGGAGCAGCTGAGAACTGTCTTCTGTTGAACTCTGACGGCTTCCACTACTTCCGTGACTCCTCCTGTAGCCTGCTGAGGACCCCACTGTGTATCTTTCCCCAGTAGCTGCTGGTGGAACCTGGTGACCCTTGGTGACCCTTGGTGACCCTTGGTGATTCATTGTGATCCCTTATAGACCTCACTGAGTATGTCTTCAGTAGCTGCTGACCACAAATAACAACAGCCGAAGTGTGCAGCTCTCACACTTGACGAGTTTATAAGATGCTGCGAAAACTTTCTTTGTAATGTATGAGAATATTGAAAGAATAAACAGCAACACAAACTGGTAATATTTTATTCTGCCCTCAAGGACTCCTGTGTACCTACTTATATGTGGGTGTAGGGGTCGATTCACTGCTTCTGGCAGTTCCTGTGTGCGTGTGTGTGTGCGTGTGTGTGTGTGTGTGTGTGTGTGGTGTGTGTGTGTGTGTGTGTTGTGTTGTGGTGTGTGTGTGTGTGTGAGTGTGTGTGTGTTGTGTGAGTGTGTGTATGTGTGTGTAGTGTGTGTTGTGTGTGTTGTGTGTGTGTGTGTGTGTGTGTGTGTGTGTGTGTGTGTGGTGTGAGTGTGTGTGTGTGTGTGTGTGTGTGTGTGTTGTGTGTGTGTGTGTGTGTGTGTGTGTGTGTGTGTGTGTGTGTGTGTGTGGTGTGTGTGTGTGTGTGTGTGTGTGTGTGTGTGTGTGTTTCTGTGAGCGCGTGTGGCGTGTATGCATATGTGCATGTGTAGGAGAGAGATAACCCACATAAACCACAGAGTGATAACACTCAGATAATCGTGGAAATTAGTACACACGTCACAGTTGTTGTCATGGATTTAACAACAACGCAGCTCCAGAATGCGTTCAGGTGGTGGGAAGTGTTCTTCTGCCAAGAGGAGTCTGTTCTCCTTATTTTTAATACATTATTAATAATATTAAGTGATCCTTCATGTCCTTTACGAAGAAAGCCAGAGGAAGAGCATGCTGGAAGGCCTCAGTAACCTGAGGAAGTGTCTGTATGGTAGAACGTAGAATATTCAGAGTTTTTTTGAGAAAGATACTTCTTTATAGCAACTATTATCTTTGTGTTTAATTCTTTTCAGTATAGAGAACTGTGTGGACTGTCGGTGTAGCAGACAGTGTGCATGTTCAATGTAGAGGAATATGTGTACTGTCAGTGTACAGGACCGTGTGTACTGTCAGTGTAGATGACTATGTGCACTATCAGTGTAGAAGAGTGTGTGCACCGTCAGTGTACAGGACTATGTGCACTATCAGTGTAGAAGAGTGTGTGCACCGTCAGTGTACAGGACTATGTGCATTGTCAGTGTGGAAGACTGTGTGCACTGTCAGTGTAGAAGACTGTTTGCAGTACACACTGTCATTAGAGGACTGTATGTACTGTCAGTGGAGGACTGTATGTGCTGTCAGTATAGATTACTGTATGGACTGTCAGTATAGAGAACTGTGTGTACTGTCAGTATAGAAGACTGTGCTCTGACAGTGTAGAGAAATATCTACACTGACAGTATAGAGGACTGTCTGCACTGACAGTGTTCAGTGGCACTAATTAACTGATAGCTTGATGACGATGACGTCATTTAAAATATTTATGAAAAATATTAAATATGAAAAAAGTTCAAATGAAATTTTTTTGATAATTATTATTGCAGATATAATTATTATTATAGCAAATATAGTTGTTATTATAGCAGATATGATTATTACAGTAGATATAATTATTCCACTTATTTACAACAACATCCAAATTTTAATTATTTAATTTGCTTAACATGAACTTCTAACTGACATGACAGGAAATTCTTCTTGAAGAATTCTAATATTCCATAAATAATAAGTGAAGGCAATAATTCCCATTGTTATTACAATAACGTGTCAGACAACACAAACTCTGATTCATGGTGAAGGTAACACCCGACCTTGTACTGGCTGGACCACTGGTCAGCGTCACACCCAGACCACTGGCCAACGTCACACCCAGACCACTGGCCAACGTCACACCCAGACGACTTGAAAGCGTTAGACACCAGACGACTGGCCAACGTCACACCCAGACCACTGGTCAACGTCACACCCAGACAACTTGAAAGCTTTAGACACCAGACGAGTGGCCAACATCACACCCAGACCACTGGCCAACGTCACACCCAGACGACTTGAAAGCGTTAGACACCAGACGACTGGTCAACGTCAGACCAAGACGACTGGTCAACGTCAGACCAAGACGACTGGCCAACGTAGGAACCAGAAGCCAATTATATGTGCTCTTAATTTCAAAATAATGATCTAGTAGAAATTTTTATCTATTTATAAAATGTCAAAACACGAGGTTCTATCAGAACGTTCCGTGCTCGAATTTTCGCTCATTTACTGAGTGAAATTTGCCGGCGGCATAGACCAGGCTGCGTAGTACACTCCTTTGTGAAGCAGCGTAGCTAGTTTCAGTGCGGTCGGTCATTCCGTTGATAATAGATAGACATTTTTTGTCGTCTGCTCAGTGCGTTGTTTTGATTTTTTTTGTGTAACAGAATAGTATCTTCAAATGAAAATAAAACAGCGTGTGTGTTTGTGAAATTCTGTTTTAAGATGGTTACAATAGCTTAGTCAACAAGTTTTTGTTGACTAAGCGATGGCTCGGATTCATTGTTTAGAATGAATTTTTTCGATTTAAAGGAGGACAAACGTTAGTTGAGGATGATGAATGTTGTGGTTGTCCATCAACATTACCAAGCACCAATACTGAAAAAATGAAGGTTATTCACGAAGATCGTCGTCATAGTTACCAGGACATTGCAAGTGCTGTAGGAATTTCTTTCTGGTCGTCACAAAGACCATCACACAACATGGTAGTCATCTCTCACCCTCCCAAATCCCCAGATCTAACATCTGTGACTTCTTTCTCTTCCCAAAAATATAACTGGTTCTCAAGGAGACGAATTTTAACTACGTTGAGGAGATTCAAGTATAATCACAGATCTTGCTAAATTCCGTCACGAAAGAAGAGTTCCAGAAATGTTTCGAGAAGTGGCAGAGGCGCTGACATCAGTGTATGACCTTCCAAGGTAAGTACTTCCAGGGAGACAACCTCAACTAGGTGATTGGATAAACCTAAATATATTTTTTGTGGGATTACAGGAACTTATAGCACCTAATTTGTTTCTGTTATTGTGTTTAAAATATTAATGTAAAATTATGGAAGCTGTGAAGGAAAAAATTGCATAATTAACAGGAAATCCATGACCAAAGTACATATTTATGCTATGGTAATACGTAGACAGTGGAGACAGGATAGTCACAGTTCTATGTGCCACCTCAGGTCTGACTGACAGAACGTATTGGATTGACGTGAGTGACCAAGACTCTGAGGGGGACTGGCGCACTTCCTCAGGTCTGTCTATACCCATGGGTACACCATTCTGGAAGGCGGATACTGAATTCCAGGAGCCAAATAACGTTAAAAATTATGAAATTGCTTGGAGATGAACAATAAATATTCATTTTTCATGAATGATATTGGCTGCTCTGATCTGTTGTCGCTAATATGTGAACAACCACCACAAGATACTGCAAGTAATTATTATTTTATGAGTCACTGTATTAATGAAGTCAATGATTGTGATCTATATATGAAAAAAATATTGTACATGTAACAAAAAGAGTAAAGTTGTCTTCTGTTTATTTGTATATGAGACCACAACATGACAGCAGTAGCAGCAGTGCAGAGGTGCAGGACTATCCCTCCTTTGTGAGTGTGGGCGGCCTCTGTCTCTCCTTCATGACGTGGGTGGAAGAGTCGTGGGAGGAGTCACGTCAGGCTTGTCATGGCTTGTCAGGGGAGCTGGCTGCTGTTACTGACATTGAACAACTGAGAGCTATATACCTGTACCTGCACCAGGAAGGTAAGACTTGTGTATATACATCTACCAGAACCAGGAAGGTAAAACTAGAGCATATACCTCTACCAGCATCAGGACTTCTACTGTGTTGCAGGGATCACTATGTTGCAGAGATATCTGTGTTGCAGAGATCACTTTGTTGCAGGGATCAATCAAATATCAATCACTCAATTTTATTTCTTTGCAAGTAGTGCATTGAGATTATGTTTGCAATCGTGTCATTACGATTTCGTGAGTCGAGTTATGTATTTACAGTAATGAGTTGCAGTGCAATGAAAGCCTGTCATACCTAGGCATTATGGGCATACTTAATTTAATGGCTTACTGACTACTTAATACTAAAGAAATTTATCATAGTTTAAGTTGTACAATAGTTTCAATAGTAAATATTTAAATTATATTATGAGAATGTGATATTGTGATTTGCTGAAAGTAGTTTACGAAATGAGAATGTTACAATTGGGTGCAGGGCAATACTGTTTTGGGTAGGTATTTATGCCACCTTGTAGTATTAGTCAACATGAGAACTTGGGCGTCTAGTCTTGAAGTTTTAAGATTTAGGTTATTCGGAGATTTTTTTTTTTTTTGGTAAAGTTAAATACTGAGTATTGAGTATTTAGTCTAGGGTGAGTAAGCGGCTTTTGAGAAAAGTCTTAAATTGATATTCATACCGGGTTACTTTAGTATTTTCTGGTAATGAATTTCAAATTTTGGGGCCCTTTATGTGAATAGAGTTTTTACACAGTGTGATATGGACACGGGGTACATCAAAAAGAGATCTGTGTCTTGTGTTATGGTCGTGTATCCTGTTAAGGTTGGTGAGAAGTTTGAGTGGAGGGTTTATGTTTGAGTGTAGTGTTCTATGTATGTAGTAGGCACATGAATAAGTATGGATGTTCTTTATGGTGAGCAGATTTAGACTTCTGAATATTGGTGGAGTACGATGTCGGAAGTGGGAATTTTTTATCATTCTGAGTTGCAGAGATCACTGATCAGTTGCTGTGTGTTGCAGGGGTCACTGATCACTTGTGTGTTGCAGGGATCACTTGCTGTGTGTTGCAGGGATCGCTGGTCATTCTTCTGGCTGGGAGGCTCCGACGCGGCCCAGGAGGGCGTCTGGTTGTGGACTGACGGTCAACGCGTCCCTATGGGTACGTCACTTCATCAACAGTGACTGTTGTCGTGTTTAAATGTCATAGTTAATTCTTGTTAAAATAGCAAGTCAGAATTTACTTCAAACTTCCACTGATAAAATAGATGGTTTAGTAAGTTTAAAAAGCAATTGTTATTAAGACTACATAACTGTACGTTACCAATTAAGAACAACTTATTATCATTTTTTTAAATCTTGTTTCCTTTCGTCTTTTAGCAACAATTTTCTTGGTTAATTAAACTGTGAGTATAAAAATCTGTTTAATAAAGTTTCATAATTAAATGGACAGAATAATGTACATAATTACCAATATTGTTAATTACATGTGTCTCAGGGGCACCGTACTGGGGCTTTGGGAAGTTAGATGTGTTGGAGCCAGATGGTGGAGCAGCTGAGAACTGTCTTCTGTTGTACGCTGACGGCTTCCACTACTTCCGTGACTCCTCCTGTAGCCTGCTGAGGACCCCACTGTGTATCTTTCCCCAGTAGCTGCTGGTGGAACCTGGTGACCCTTGGTGACCCTTGGTGACCCTTGGTGACTCATTGTGATCCCTTAAAGACCTCACTGAGTATGTCTTCAGTAGCTGCTGACCACAATAACACAGCCGAAGTGTGGCAGCTCTCACACTTGACGAGTTTATAAGGTGTTGCGAAAACTTTCTTTGTAATGTATGAGAATATTGAAAGAATATACAGCAACACAAACTGGTAATATTTTATTCTGCCCTCAAGGACTCCTGTGTACCTACTTATATGTGGGTGTAGGGGTCGATTCACTGCTTCTGGCAGTTCCTGTGTGCGTGTGTGTGTGCGTGTGAGTGTGTGTGTGTGTGTGTGTGTGTGTGTGTGTGTGTGTGTGTGTGTGTGTGTGTGTGTGTGTGTGTGTGTGTGTGAGTGTGTGTGTGTGTGTGTGAGTGTGTGTATGTGTGTGTGTGTGTGTGTGTGTGTGTGTGTGTGTGTGTGTGTGTGTGTGTGTGTGTGTGTGTGTGTGTGTGTGTGTGTGTGTGTGTGTGTGTGTGTGTGTGTGTGTGTGTGTGTGTGTGTGTGTGTGTGTGAGTGTGTGTGTGTGTGTGTGTGTGTGTGTGTGTTTCTGTGAGCGCGTGTGCGCGTGTATGCATATGTGCATGTGTAGGAGAGAGATAACCCACATAAACCACAGAGTGATAACACTCAGATAATCGTGGAAATTAGTACACACGTCACAGTTGTTGTCATGGATTTAACAACAACGCAGCTCCAGAATGCGTTCAGGTGGTGGGAAGTGTTCTTCTGCCAAGAGGAGTCTGTTCTCCTTATTTTTAATACATTATTAATAATATTAAGTGATCCTTCATGTCCTTTACGAAGAAAGCCAGAGGAAGAGCATGCTGGAAGGCCTCAGTAACCTGAGGAAGTGTCTGTATGGTAGAACGTAGAATATTCAGAGTTTTTTTGAGAAAGATACTTCTTTATAGCAACTATTATCTTTGTGTTTAATTCTTTTCAGTATAGAGAACTGTGTGGACTGTCGGTGTAGCAGACAGTGTGCATGTTCAATGTAGAGGAATATGTGTACTGTCAGTGTACAGGACCGTGTGTACTGTCAGTGTAGATGACTATGTGCACTATCAGTGTAGAAGAGTGTGTGTGCACCGTCAGTGTACAGGACTATGTGCACTATCAGTGTAGAAGAGTGTGTGCACCGTCAGTGTACAGGACTATGTGCATTGTCAGTGTGGAAGACTGTGTGCACTGTCAGTGTAGAAGACTGTTTGCAGTACACACTGTCATTAGAGGACTGTATGTACTGTCAGTGGAGGACTGTATGTGCTGTCAGTATAGATTACTGTATGGACTGTCAGTATAGAGAACTGTGTGTACTGTCAGTATAGAAGACTGTGCTCTGACAGTGTAGAGAAATATCTACACTGACAGTATAGAGGACTGTCTGCACTGACAGTGTTCAGTGGCACTAATTAACTGATAGCTTGATGACGATGACGTCATTTAAAATATTTATGAAAAATATTAAATATGAAAAAAGTTCAAATGAAATTTTTTTGATAATTATTATTGCAGATATAATTATTATTATAGCAATATAGTTGTTATTATAGCAGATATGATTATTACAGTAGATATAATTATTCCACTTATTTACAACAACATCCAAATTTTAATTATTTAATTTGCTTAACATGAACTTCTAACTGACATGACAGGAAATTCTTCTTGAAGAATTCTAATATTCCATAAATAATAAGTGAAGGCAATAATTCCCATTGTTATTACAATAACGTGTCAGACAACACAAACTCTGATTCATGGTGAAGGTAACACCCGACCTTGTACTGGCTGGACCACTGGTCAGCGTCACACCCAGACCACTGGCCAACGTCACACCCAGACCACTGGCCAACGTCACACCCAGACGACTTGAAAGCGTTAGACACCAGACGACTGGCCAACGTCACACCCAGACCACTGGTCAACGTCACACCCAGACAACTTGAAAGCTTTAGACACCAGACGAGTGGCCAACATCACACCCAGACCACTGGCCAACGTCACACCCAGACGACTTGAAAGCGTTAGACACCAGACGACTGGTCAACGTCATGACCAAGACGACTGGTCAACGTCAGACCAAGACGACTGGCCAACGTAGGAACCAGAAGCCAATTATATGTGCTCTTAATTTCAAAATAATGATCTAGTAGAAATTTTTATCTATTTATAAAATGTCAAAACACGAGGTTCTATCAGAACGTTCCCGTGCTCGAATTTTCGCTCATTTACTGAGTGAAATTTGCCGGCGGCATAGACCAGGCTGCGTAGTACACTCCTTTGTGAAGCAGCGTAGCTAGTTTCAGTGCGGTCGGTCATTCCGTTGATAATAGATAGACATTTTTTGTCGTCTGCTCAGTGCGTTGTTTTGATTTTTTTGTGTAACAGAATAGTATCTTCAAATGAAAATAAAACAGCGTGTGTGTTTGTGAAATTCTGTTTTAAGATGGTTACAATAGCTTAGTCAACAAGTTTTTGTTGACTAAGCGATGGCTCGGATTCATTGTTTAGAATGAATTTTTTCGATTTAAAGGAGGACAAACGTTAGTTGAGGATGATGAATGTTGTGGTTGTCCATCAACATTACCAAGCACCAATACTGAAAAAATGAAGGTTATTCACGAAGATCGTCGTCATAGTTACCAGGACATTGCAAGTGCTGTAGGAATTTCTTTCTGGTCGTCACAAAGACCATCACACAACATGGTAGTCATCTCTCACCCTCCCAAATCCCCAGATCTAACATCTGTGACTTCTTTCTCTTCCCAAAAATATAACTGGTTCTCAAGGAGACGAATTTTAACTACGTTGAGGAGATTCAAGTATAATCACAGATCTTGCTAAATTCCGTCACGAAAGAAGAGTTCCAGAAATGTTTCGAGAAGTGGCAGAGGCGCTGACATCAGTGTATGACCTTCCAAGGTAAGTACTTCCAGGGAGACAACCTCAACTAGGTGATTGGATAAACCTAAATATATTTTTTGTGGGATTACAGGAACTTATAGCACCTAATTTGTTTCTGTTATTGTGTTTAAAATATTAATGTAAAATTATGGAAGCTGTGAAGGAAAAAATTGCATAATTAACAGGAAATCCATGACCAAAGTACATATTTATGCTATGGTAATACGTAGACAGTGGAGACAGGATAGTCACAGTTCTATGTGCCACCTCAGGTCTGACTGACAGAACGTATTGGATTGACGTGAGTGACCAAGACTCTGAGGGGGACTGGCGCACTTCCTCAGGTCTGTCTATACCCATGGGTACACCATTCTGGAAGGCGGATACTGAATTCCAGGAGCCAAATAACGTTAAAAATTATGAAAATTGCTTGGAGATGAACAATAAATATTCATTTTTCATGAATGATATTGGCTGCTCTGATCTGTTGTCGCTAATATGTGAACAACCACCACAAGATACTGCAAGTAATTATTATTTTATGAGTCACTGTATTAATGAAGTCAATGATTGTGATCTATATATGAAAAAAATATTGTACATGTAACAAAAAGAGTAAAGTTGTCTTCTGTTTATTTGTATATGAGACCACAACATGACAGCAGTAGCAGCAGTGCCAGAGGTGCAGGACTATCCCTCCTTTGTGAGTGTGGGCGGCCTCTGTCTCTCCTTCATGACGTGGGTGGAAGAGTCGTGGGAGGAGTCACGTCAGGCTTGTCATGGCTTGTCAGGGGAGCTGGCTGCTGTTACTGACATTGAACAACTGAGAGCTATATACCTGTACCTGCACCAGGAAGGTAAGACTTGTGTATATACATCTACCAGAACCAGGAAGGTAAAACTAGAGCATATACCTCTACCAGCATCAGGACTTCTACTGTGTTGCAGGGATCACTATGTTGCAGAGATATCTGTGTTGCAGAGATCACTTTGTTGCAGGGATCAATCAAATAATCAATCACTCAATTTTATTTCTTTGCAAGTAGTGCATTGAGATTATGTTTGCAATCGTGTCATTACGATTTCGTGAGTCGAGTTATGTATTTACAGTAATGAGTTGCAGTGCAATGAAAGCCTGTCATACCTAGGCATTATGGGCATACTTAATTTAATGGCTTACTGACTACTTAATACTAAAGAAATTTATCATAGTTTAAGTTGTACAATAGTTTCAATAGTAAATATTTAAATTATATTATGAGAATGTGATATTGTGATTTGCTGAAAGTAGTTTACGAAATGAGAATGTTACAATTGGGTGCAGGGCAATACTGTTTTGGGTAGGTATTTATGCCACCTTGTAGTATTAGTCAACATGAGAACTTGGGCGTCTAGTCTTGAAGTTTTAAGATTTAGGTTATTCGGAGATTTTTTTTTTTTTTGGTAAAGTTAAATACTGAGTATTGAGTATTTAGTCTAGGGTGAGTAAGCGGCTTTTGAGAAAAGTCTTAAATTGATATTCATACCGGGTTACTTTAGTATTTTCTGGTAATGAATTTCAAATTTTGGGGCCCTTTATGTGAATAGAGTTTTTTACACAGTGTGATATGGACACGGGGTACATCAAAAAGAGATCTGTGTCTTGTGTTATGGTCGTGTATCCTGTTAAGGTTGGTGAGAAGTTTGAGTGGAGGGTTTATGTTTGAGTGTAGTGTTCTATGTATGTAGTAGGCACATGAATAAGTATGGATGTTCTTTATGGTGAGCAGATTTAGACTTCTGAATATTGGTGGAGTACGATGTCGGAAGTGGGAATTTTTTATCATTCTGAGTTGCAGAGATCACTGATCAGTTGCTGTGTGTTGCAGGGGTCACTGATCACTTGTGTGTTGCAGGGATCACTTGCTGTGTGTTGCAGGGATCGCTGGTCATTCCTTCTGGCTGGGAGGCTCCGACGCGGCCCAGGAGGGCGTCTGGTTGTGGACTGACGGTCAACGCGTCCCTATGGGTACGTCACTTCATCAACAGTGACTGTTGTCGTGTTTAAATGTCATAGTTAATTCTTGTTAAAATAGCAAGTCAGAATTTACTTCAAACTTCCACTGATAAAATAGATGGTTTAGTAAGTTTAAAAAGCAATTGTTATTAAGACTACATAACTGTACGTTACCAATTAAGAACAACTTATTATCATTTTTTTAAATCTTGTTTCCTTTCGTCTTTTAGCAACAATTTTCTTGGTTAATTAAACTGTGAGTATAAAAATCTGTTTAATAAAGTTTCATAATTAAATGGACAGAATAATGTACATAATTACCAATATTGTTAATTACATGTGTCTCAGGGGCACCGTACTGGGGCTTTGGGAAGTTAGATGTGTTGGAGCCAGATGGTGGAGCAGCTGAGAACTGTCTTCTGTTGTACGCTGACGGCTTCCACTACTTCCGTGACTCCTCCTGTAGCCTGCTGAGGACCCCACTGTGTATCTTTCCCCAGTAGCTGCTGGTGGAACCTGGTGACCCTTGGTGACCCTTGGTGACCCTTGGTGACTCATTGTGATCCCTTAAAGACCTCACTGAGTATGTCTTCAGTAGCTGCTGACCACAATAACACAGCCGAAGTGTGGCAGCTCTCACACTTGACGAGTTTATAAGGTGTTGCGAAAACTTTCTTTGTAATGTATGAGAATATTGAAAGAATATACAGCAACACAAACTGGTAATATTTTATTCTGCCCTCAAGGACTCCTGTGTACCTACTTATATGTGGGTGTAGGGGTCGATTCACTGCTTCTGGCAGTTCCTGTGTGCGTGTGTGTGTGCGTGTGAGTGTGTGTGTGTGTGTGTGGTGTGTGTGTGTGTGTGTGTGTGTGTGTGTGTGTGTGTGTGTGTGTGTGTGTGGTGTGGTGTGTGTGTGTGAGTGTGTGTATGTGTGTGTGTGTGTGTGTGTGTGTGTGTGTGTGTGTGTGTGTGTGTGTGTGTGAGTGTGTGTGTGTGTGTGTGTGTGTGTGTGTGTGTGTGTGTGTGTGTGTGTGTGTGTGTGTGTGTGTGTGTGTGTGTGTGTGTGTGTGTGTGGAGTGTGTGTGTGTGTGTGTGTGTGTGTGTGTGTTTCTGTGAGCGCGTGTGCGCGTGTATGCATATGTGCATGTGTAGGAGAGAGATAACCCACATAAACCACAGAGTGATAACACTCAGATAATCGTGGAAATTAGTACACACGTCACAGTTGTTGTCATGGATTTAACAACAACGCAGCTCCAGAATGCGTTCAGGTGGTGGGAAGTGTTCTTCTGCCAAGAGGAGTCTGTTCTCCTTATTTTTAATACATTATTAATAATATTAAGTGATCCTTCATGTCCTTTACGAAGAAAGCCAGAGGAAGAGCATGCTGGAAGGCCTCAGTAACCTGAGGAAGTGTCTGTATGGTAGAACGTAGAATATTCAGAGTTTTTTTGAGAAAGATACTTCTTTATAGCAACTATTATCTTTGTGTTTAATTCTTTTCAGTATAGAGAACTGTGTGGACTGTCGGTGTAGCAGACAGTGTGCATGTTCAATGTAGAGGAATATGTGTACTGTCAGTGTACAGGACCGTGTGTACTGTCAGTGTAGATGACTATGTGCACTATCAGTGTAGAAGAGTGTGTGCACCGTCAGTGTACAGGACTATGTGCACTATCAGTGTAGAAGAGTGTGTGCACCGTCAGTGTACAGGACTATGTGCATTGTCAGTGTGGAAGACTGTGTGCACTGTCAGTGTAGAAGACTGTTTGCAGTACACACTGTCATTAGAGGACTGTATGTACTGTCAGTGGAGGACTGTATGTGCTGTCAGTATAGATTACTGTATGGACTGTCAGTATAGAGAACTGTGTGTACTGTCAGTATAGAAGACTGTGCTCTGACAGTGTAGAGAAATATCTACACTGACAGTATAGAGGACTGTCTGCACTGACAGTGTTCAGTGGCACTAATTAACTGATAGCTTGATGACGATGACGTCATTTAAAATATTTATGAAAAATATTAAATATGAAAAAAGTTCAAATGAAATTTTTTTGATAATTATTATTGCAGATATAATTATTATTATAGCAAATATAGTTGTTATTATAGCAGATATGATTATTACAGTAGATATAATTATTCCACTTATTTACAACAACATCCAAATTTTAATTATTTAATTTGCTTAACATGAACTTCTAACTGACATGACAGGAAATTCTTCTTGAAGAATTCTAATATTCCATAAATAATAAGTGAAGGCAATAATTCCCATTGTTATTACAATAACGTGTCAGACACACAAACTCTGATTCATGGTGAAGGTAACACCCGACCTTGTACTGGCTGGACCACTGGTCAGCGTCACACCCAGACCACTGGCCAACGTCACACCCAGACCACTGGCCAACGTCACACCCAGACGACTTGAAAGCGTTAGACACCAGACGACTGGCCAACGTCACACCCAGACCACTGGTCAACGTCACACCCAGACAACTTGAAAGCTTTAGACACCAGACGAGTGGCCAACATCACACCCAGACCACTGGCCAACGTCACACCCAGACGACTTGAAGCGTTAGACACCAGACGACTGGTCAACGTCAGACCAAGACGACTTGTCAACGTCAGACCAAGACGACTGGCCAACGTAGGAACCAGAAGCCAATTATATGTGCTCTTAATTTCAAAATAATGATCTAGTAGAAATTTTTATCTATTTATAAAATGTCAAAACACGAGGTTCTATCAGAACGTTCCCGTGCTCGAATTTTCGCTCATTTACTGAGTGAAATTTGCCGGCGGCATAGACCAGGCTGCGTAGTACACTCCTTTGTGAAGCAGCGTAGCTAGTTTCAGTGCGGTCGGTCATTCCGTTGATAATAGATAGACATTTTTTGTCGTCTGCTCAGTGCGTTGTTTTGATTTTTTTGTGTAACAGAATAGTATCTTCAAATGAAAATAAAACAGCGTGTGTGTTTGTGAAATTCTGTTTTAAGATGGTTACAATAGCTTAGTCAACAAGTTTTTGTTGACTAAGCGATGGCTCGGATTCATTGTTTAGAATGAATTTTTTCGATTTAAAGGAGGACAAACGTTAGTTGAGGATGATGAATGTTGTGGTTGTCCATCAACATTACCAAGCACCAATACTGAAAAAATGAAGGTTATTCACGAAGATCGTCGTCATAGTTACCAGGACATTGCAAGTGCTGTAGGAATTTCTTTCTGGTCGTCACAAAGACCATCACACAACATGGTAGTCATCTCTCACC